TTGAAAAAAAATATCATTGACATATTGGTCTAGAACCTGTGCCACCCACATGAGAGCGGGCTACGCTACCAACTTAGCTATTCACTCGTGACGTCACAAATGAATTTTTATACTATACTTTTGAGTCTCCGCGCATAGATCTAGATCTAAGTCTAGTAGTAGTAACTTTCAAATTAAATTTAATCTTAAATTAGCCAAACAAAGATTTATATAAAATAATTAAGGCCTGAAATGGATTCTAGATGTATTAAGGCCTGAAATAGATTCTAGATGTAGAATTTACATTAAGTCTAGTAGTGACCTAGATCTAGGCTAGATCTAGGCTAGATTCATAACTTTCCTTCGACAGCTGATCTTTAGATCTAGAGAAATTTATCGTAAAACTAAATGAAAAAGACAGTTGAAAATTGATATAAGTGTTGGAACGTAATAAATACAGCAAACGGACGTATTGTTTAAGTTATAGCCGGCAGAAAATTAGCTTTGTAACGCGTTAAACTTTTGAATGGGCCACAAAGTCTATGATGGGGTCCGCCATTTTTTATTGAACCAAAAAGTAAACACATCAAGGGACGTCACTATCCCCACAAAGTTTATTCAAAGTATTAACATTTTTAAAAAATACGGTTAATTTAACTATGAATAAATCAATAAATTAATTAACGTCTTTAAATAAATTTGTGATTAACAGTCTGTCTTAAAACAAAATTTTTTCTCTACCTACATACTATTTTACAGCTTTCCACGATGAGTGCAACCATGCGAGATAGTCGATCAGGCAAACAAACAAACAAACAAAAAAATAAATATTCAAACATGTAAACAAACTTGACTTTTAGTAGTATACTAGACTACCCGTCATCCCTTGGATAACTGTGGGTTTCGGGGGTCATCCATCAAAAAACATCACGTCTGTCACTCAGAGGCATAGCGACCCTTCCCGGCGCCCGGGGACAAACTTTTCGATTTGAACCCCCCCCCCCCCGCAAGATTTCGATTTGCAACCCCCCCCCCCCTCAAACTTTTGATGTGCACCCCCCCCCCCCCACTCAAACTTTCGATTTGCACCCCCCTCAACCTTTCAATTTATTTTTCCAAACCATTTTGGCGTCCCAACATATGTCCCCCCCCGCCCCCCTTCCCCCCTCCACCTCCCCCCGCCTCCCCTCCCGCCTCCCCTCCCGCCTCCCCTCCCCCTCCCGCCCCCCTCCTCGCTACGCTACTGCAGTGTCACTTATCGTCACAAAAAACAGACCCCACATTCAAAAATGTTTTTTTATCTTTTAAAAACACCGAAAACACCGATTTCGGACTATCCCTTCATATACTGACGTCACAGGTGACCTACTCAACTCTACTTCACCTGCCCAGTGTCCCGCCAAGTCTCAGACGACATGTTTTTATCGTTTAAAAAACGATTCCAGCCGCGCATGTCTCTGACCACACTATCCTTTCATATGCTTAGGACAAAGAAACAGATGAACTCTACTTCACCTGCCCTGTATCCTGCCAAGTTCAGATAGGCAACTTTCATTCACATCTAAAAAAAAAAAAATTGAAAAAAAAAAGATCATTGACATATTGGTCTAGAACCTGTGCCACCCTCATGAGAGCGGACTACGCTATCAACTTAGCTATTTACTCGTGACGTAACTAATGAATTTTTATACTATACTTTTGAGTCTCCGCGCATAGATCTAGATATTAGGCTAGTAGTAGTAACTTTCAAATTAAATTTAATCTTAAATTAGCCAAACAAAGATTTATATAAAATAAAGAAGTTCTGAAATTAGCTAGATCTAGATAATTCTATCTAGATCTATATTCTAGGACTCGCTTGCTTAGGTCTTAAGTTTAGTTTTTCTTGCTAGATCTAGATCTAGATCTAATCATTAGCTACGCTGATAGGCCCGGAGCGAGCATTTCAAAATTACCATATTCCAAACAAAGATTTATATAAAATAATAAAGGTCTAAGATAGTTTAGTATATAGAAAATCATTATTATCTAAATCTAGATAGAATTATCTATATTTTAGATATACGACTGAGCTATATCTAGAGTTTACGTCTATAATTTTGCACACATAGTGGTATAGAAGCCGCGTATGAATCTTAAGCTACGCAAATAGATCTAGGCCCTGACTCCAGCACTTCAAAATTTGCATAGGGGCCTAGTCAAAACAAAGATTTATACAAAACAATAAAGGTCTAAAATATTTTAGTATATAGAAACTCATTATTATCTAAATCTAGATAGAATTATCTATATTCTAGATCTACGACTGGTTTGCTTAAGTCTCGTTTTTTTGGATTGTATTTATAACTAATAAATCTATGATTTGACCTAGATTCTAGATTCTAGATCTAGATCTAAAAATAACTTTTCTTCGACAGCTGATCTTTAGATCTAGAGAAATTTATTGTAAAACTAAATAAAAAGGCAGTTGAAAATTGATATAAGTGTTGGAACGTAATAAATACAGCAAACGGACGTATTGTTTAAGTTATAGCCGGCAGAAAATTAGCTTTGTAACGCGTTAAACTTTTGAATGGGCCACAAAGTCTATGATGGAGTCTGCCATTTTTATTGTACCAAAAATGTAAACACATCAAGGGACGTCATATCCCCACAAAGTTTATTCAAAGTATTAACATTTTTAAAAAAATACGGTTAATTTACCTATGAATAAATCAATAAATTAATTAACGTCTTTAAATAAATTTGTGATTAACAGTCTGTCTTAAAACAAAAATTTTTCTCTACCTACATACTATTTTACAGCTTTCCACGATGAGTGCAACCATGCGAGATAGTCGATCAGGCAAACAAAAAAACAAACAAAAAAACAAACAAAAAAATAAATATTCAAACATGTAAACAAACTTGACTTTTAGTAGTATACTAGAATACCCGTCATCCCTTGGATAACTGTGGGTTTCGGGGGTCATCCATCAAAAAACATCACGTCTGTCACTCAAAGGCATAGCGAGCCTTCCCGGCGCCCGGGGACAAACTTTTCGATTTTAACCCCCCCCCCCCAAGATTTCGATTTTCAACCCCCCCCCCTCAAACTTTTGATGTGCACCCCCTCCCCCCCCCCCCCACTCAAACTTTCGATTTGAACCCCCCTCAACCTTTCAATTTATTTTTCCAAACCATTTTGGCGCCCCAACATACGTCCCCCCGCCCCCCCCCTTCACCCCCCCCCCCGCCTCCCCTCCCCCCCGCCTCCCCTTCCCCCCCGCCTCCCCTTCCCCCCCCCCCCCCCCCCGCCTCCCCACCCGCCCCCCCCCCCCCTCCTCGCTACGCTACTGCAGTGTTACTTATCGTCACAAAAACAGAGCCCACATTCAAAAATATGTTTCTTATCTTTTAAAAACACCGAAAACACCGATTTCGGACTATCCCTTCATATACTGACGTCACATGTGACCTACTCAACTCTACTTCACCTGCCCAGTGTCCCGCCAAGTCTCAGACAACATGTTTTTATCGTTTAAAAAACGATTCCAGCCGAGCATGTCTCTGACCACACTATCCTTTCATATGGTTAGGACAAAGAAACAGATGAACTCTACTTCACCTGCCCTGTATCCTGCCAAGTTCAGATAAAAATTGAAAAAAAATATCATTTTTTATCATTAACATCTAAAAAAAAAAAATTGAAAAAAAATATCATTGACATATTGGTCTAGAACCTGTACCACTCGCATGAGAGCGGACTACGCTACAAACTTAGCTATTTACTCGTGACGTCACAAATGAATTTTTATACTATACTTTGATGCAACTTGATTTCGAGCGTCTAGTCTAGAAGTAGTAACTTTCAAATTAAATTTTATCTTAAATTAGCCAAACAAAGATTTATATAAAATAATTAAGGCCTGAAATAGATTCTAGATGTATTAAGGCCTGAAATAGATTCTAGATGTAGAATTTACATTAAGTCTAGATTTAGAATTTACATTGAGTTTAGTGACCTAGATCTAGATCTAGATCTAGGCTAGATTCATAAATTTCCTTCGATAGCTGATCTTTAGATCTAGAGAAATTTATCGTAAAACTAAATGAAAAAGACAGTTGAAAATTGATATAAGTGTTGGAACGTAATAAATACAGCAAACGGACGTATTGTTAAAGTTATGACCGACAGAAAATTAGATTTAGAACGCGTTAAACTTTTGAATGGGAACACAATTTTCTTCAATAGACGCCGCCATTTTATTGTACTAAAGAGTAAACAAAAACCTGTGACGTCACTATTCCCACAAAGTTTAGTCAAGGTTCTAACATTTTAAAAAAAAATGGGTTATTCTGCGTAGGAATAAATCAATAAATTAATTAACGTCTTTAAATAAATTTGTGATCAACAGTCTGTCTGCATTAAAAAATTATTCTCTACCTGCATACCATTTTACAGCTTTCCAGATAGAGTCGAACATATCACAATTTTCGATCAGGCAAACAAATAAATATTCAAACATGTAAACAAAGTTGACTTTTAGTAGTATATAGATAGATAGATGTTTTAAGTTAGTCTTGCGCAGATAGTTTTAGATATTTGATACATCAGTGCTTGTTCAGCTTATTATAATGTTAGGTATGGGTTGGAGATTATTTAAGGTAACAAGCCAAAAAGAATTTTGAATAACATATCCAATAAAATATCTAAAGGCTGGCTAATCACAGCAGTCCCAATAGTTAGAGATATAAGCTGTAAAGCCTATTTTGGGAGACCATGATTTGAATCAACTGTTTCTTGAATGTTTATCATATACTAATACAAACAATAGGTAAGTGATAATATTTTGGGTGTCGCAAAGTGAGATAAAGATTCTCATAACATACGCCTCAAATAAAACAGAATTAAAGAAGACAATGTTAATCAAATGTGATTTTAAAAAAAAGAAACTGGGGGGAAAAATCCAACAAATATTTACGGAAAACTTGTATAAAATGTTTCAATAATTTATTTTTATTTCACAACATATGCCATTTCTATTACAGGAATAGTTAGTATCCATCTTAATCAAAGGGCCTAAAATTGTTAAAGAGTATTAAAAAATTATAATATTAAATTAATTGATATGTACACTTAGCTAGATTCAGGACAAGCCATACGAGTGACATGAGTTAGAAAGAATAAGGAAAATTAAATTAAAGAGATGCAGAAACAGGAAATAAAAAGAAATGTTTTTCTAAATAAAAATTATCTTCAGCAGGATAAAAAACTAGCTAGTTTTCTTATAAACAATATAAAAATGAAAATACTTGATTAAAAAATGTTATTCTTTGATTTATAAATCAACATAAATAACTAAAAGTAAAATACTGGATTAAAAAAATAAGTTTCTTATTTTATAAAAACCATATAAAATAAAATCTTGTCCGTGTCATTTGAGTCAAGTCAGTCACGCAACATTTAATACAAAAAATAAATAAAACTTATTTTATATACAGTCACGTACACAACAAATAAAATAAATTTGAAGCTTTACAAAGTTATACCATCACCACATAATGCTTTGTTTTTTGTGCTCTTTCATGCATGAAGCCTACACCTACCAAAGAAGCCAGATTTAAAAAAAAAATTACAGTTTAATTTATATGTAAAACATAATGAAAAGGTCTTAGCACAGTCAATAAGATATTGAGGAGGTAACACTTTGAAATTTGAAAAAATAAATTATTGGATTAGATTAGAGCCTAAATCAATGAGATTTGTTGACATTCAAAAGAAGGATTGAACCAAAATGCCACTTTCAGTAAACGTCGCCCCCCCCCCCCCCCGAAAATTTTTTACCGCCCCCCGAACAAAATGAAATTTACATAATTTATATAGAAAATATATAATTTTAACAGTGTCCACCCCCCCGAAGAAAGTCTACAGCCCCCCCGAAAATTTCAAGTGCCCCCCGGAGAAAAAAGTCTGGAAGAAACACTGCGTCTACATCAAACAGAGCAATCTTACCTGGATGAAGAGTACAAAGTCCACTACGCGGATGAGCTGTCGTAGGATGAAACAAAGTCCATGAGGTCGGCTCTAGGGCTGCTATTCTCCAAAAATGGATTCACAACAGTGGCGGCTGGTTGCAGGCCAAAGTTAAATGGATCAGCGGGCCCAAGCCCCTGGTCAAAAGGGTTGGCCGCGCATGGGCTCTCAGCTAAGTCAAATGGATTAGTGCTAGGTGGGCGTGGGCCGGCAAAATTCTGCAGTTGGTCTTCAAAGGGATTAGTGCTTGATGGGCGATCACTGACTAGATTTTGCAACTCCTCATCAAAAGGATTAGTGCTTGCTGGCCGTTCAATCTCAGTAAAAGAAAAATCTTCATCAAAGGGATTAGTGCTGGGAGGCCGGTGAGCTATTTCTGTCCCTGGTTGATTTTCAAATGTGATTTCGATAGAAGGACTAGGGTGTAAGGAGTTAAATCCACACAGATTTTCATCAACACTGGGTAATACAGGCAAGCTATGCTCACTTGATTTGTCCTGAGAGTTGAGAAATTCTACATTAACCACTAAGGCCTGTTGAGTTTGGTTAGCGCTGGAATCTGAAGGTGTACCAGACAGGAAGTCTTGACCATCTGGGATTAGACATGGCCCCTGGGGTGGGGGGTCGGTAAAATGACATGACCCCTGGACGAGGTTTGTCTGTGGTGGCGAGGTCAGCGGAGCCGGAGGAAGTTCTGAAAACCCATGCGGGTCAGCAGTTGGAATAGAGGAACTGGACTGGACAAGAATAGCACTTTCTGGCAGTGCAGTGCCAGAGCTCAGCTGAGGATCACAGGGTGACGGAGGAATGTCAGGAGTGAAGCTGACGACAGTTGGACAAGTGACGTTTGCTGTGTGAATGTCAGCACATGTGACGTTTGCTGTCTGGATGTCATCACGTATTCCCTGAATGCCCCGACTGTGCTGAGTGTCAACAAAGGGAAGAGCTGGGCTTGGCTTGATCTCAATGTCAATGTGTTTCTCACAACCTGAATTGGACTTTTTCACCTCTATGGTCAGGATTTCTTCAGACTCTGGGACCACAAGATGGCTATCAACAAGAGACTCCTCCACTGTGTCTTCACTAGCTGTCACACCATGGCCGTTTATCCTCAACTTATTTTCACCATCATCTATGTCATAAAAACCTGAGGACTCTGCTAAACTTCTGGTACTAGTTGAATCACCATCAAGCACGGTAAACTTTGGTGCCTCTAAAACAGAAGCCTCTACAGAGTCAGCATCAAGAGGATCTAGTTCTGATTTATCACTGAAAGACACTGGAAAACTGGCCTCTACTTTACCAGTAAGACAGATGGAGATAGAACCTTCACTGGGCAGTACTGAACAGGTTTCTTCCTTGTCCGAAGACAGGGCCGTGTCAGGGAAACTGGCCCAGTTCTCCTCTTCTGTTTCGTCAACAGTTTCACCAAAAAAGTTGTACGCTGTGGGCTCTGTGGGCTGGATGTACAACAGCTGACTGCTGGCTTGTTCCTCGTATGGAGAGTTAGCAGCAGAAAGTCTTGGGCCTGTGGAGAGTTTAGGTGAGGTCGCTGGGGTGAGGGTGGGAGGAATCAAAACCCTCCGAGGAGATATGGGTAACTGACCGTCTTCATTGACCACTAACGCAGACTTTGTACGGCTGAAAAGAATTTCCTCTGTGAACTCAAAGCAGTTTTCATCAGAGTCCTTTCTCTTGGCGCTCTGCAGCTTTGGAGTCTTTGCTTTCAATGAGAACTCGTCGCAGGGGAGAGTTATCTTAAGTTTGTCTGGAATGACTGTAAGAGGTGCAGGGGAGGGCTCTGGAGAACTAATGGTTGCATATTCGTCTAGGGTGACGACACTTATGGGCGTATGACTGCGAGGTCTGGCTATGGGGGACGTTGTGACTCGCAGCCTCTCGATGCGTCTCTCGTAAGCTTTGCGTTTAGAAGGGGACAAAATCTGACTAGGGTCAATGTTCTCTGGCACGAGGCTCGCTTGACCTTCCTTCCCGAGCCCAAACCCACTGGAGGTGGCTTCTGGGTATTCTAAATGTCCAACGGATGGACGCGAAGCGTGGAATGTAAATGTCGCCTCATTGATAGAACCAGAACTGGAGGAGGAATCTGAATCTTGTTTCTTGATAGGGATATTCACCCTACCAATCGTTCCTTGGCGGTTTAAACCAGTTACAACCGGTTCTTTCTGGTTTTCTTTTTCTGCATTGTTTGTCTTCACATCGGCAACTGAGTCGTCTATGTGAGATAAATCCTCCAATGGTGGGGCTCCAGGTTTAGCAGATTCAAGTCTCAGAGGTTCGGCTGTAACAAGTGTTGCTTCAAGCTTCTTCTCCGCTACATTTTCTCCCTCGACTCTCGGCTTTTCTTTGGTCGCATCAACTTCTTTGCCCGGTCTATCCTCCCCGCCTGTCTGGGACAGGGACTTCTTGGAGTTATTTCCCCCTATGGTTCCAGATTTCACTTTTCCATCTCTAGTAAAGACACTTGATGAACCAGCAGTCAAAACCTGTTCATCCGTGGAGCACCCGGCTGGGGAGTTACTTTTGTTATCATTGCAGCTAGGCTTAACATCTTCGTCACCGAGGTCGATAGTATCAAAAGTAGCAAGTGGGGCTTTGGCTATATCTACTCGTCTAACTATTCTATGTTTGATGTTGATAGCTCTGTGCATAGCCTAATTTAGGTAGGAAAACACTGGAAAAAAAAAAGAAATGTATTTATTTATGGTTTAATAGGAACTGAGATTTATGATTTTTTATGATTTATGTATTATTTATGGCTTAATAGGAACTAAGTTTTATGATTTTTTTGTATACTCATATAATTTAAAAAATTTAACAAACATATTTTCCCAATCTTTCGAAATGACAGAATCATAAATGTAGTTTTTTAATAAAGCAGATATAAAAATAAAGTATACTGCATCATTGAAAGAATGTTCTGGTTATAGTCTAAACTTATTTTCTTCAAAACTCAATAACTTTTTTGAACAGGCTGACTTCACTACTGCAGAGCATGAACCAGCCACAAGTGAAGGCTAACTTCACCTGTAGTGCACACTAGTGAGAGCTGAGGTTTACACTAGTCAACTTTAATGACTTTTAGAAATTATTCTATTTATAGGCCTAGCCAACTAACTGGGCTTCTGTTTTTAAAAAATTAATAAACTAGTAGATATATACAACATTGAATTAAAGCATAGAAATTGGATATTTCACAATAACTGAATGGGTGACATGGATTAATTAAAGATATTAAAACTTGGTTTAAAGATGATATAAGAAAGGGTGAGGAAGCAGGCATTGCAATGTTAGACATACAGTGGTATTTTAAAGCCTTAAGGACTCATCAGGTTTACAAAAAATCAACATGCACCATTTAAAACATTGAGTTTTTGAAACTGGAAATTGCTGTCAAATTAAAATAAAAGATGTAGCGTTGAAATATATTCTAATTTACTCTGTTAAATATTCAGGTGCAAAAAATAAACACATTGATCTAGTAATAAAGTGCAAAGTAATGTATAAAATTACTTTGGATATTTTACTTTCAAAATTACAAAAAAATAATTAAAATTCAAATTGCAGGAAGCATTTCATTTGAATTTGAATAATAAATAAATATATAACAACTTGTGACTTACAATTTGATGGAAACTTAACATAGTTGCTGGTTATAAGAAAGCTTACACTGTAGGCCTATTCCCAAATACCTCAAATATATGTAGTTTATGTTAATCACTTATAATGAAGAAAGTATGCTTTTGAATTTCTCAGTTTTACTGACACACATGGTTAACTTATTCACAACCATTACAGTGACACAGATTGCTGAGCTTAAAAATGATTTGCAGTGTATCTTTATTAATTAATAAACCTGAATGATAATGAGAACACAACGTTACAGACTGCAACATGTGAGCATGGGCAATGTATAAAAATATGTTGATATTTTTTTCTCTATCTAATCATTTTTCTTACAACTTACCAAAACCATATTGTAGAAATACAGAAATATTTTAAATGCCCAGATAAAGTCTAATGAATTATGTTAACTTGGCTTAAAATTTAGGGCTAAACCTAAGGTAAAAAAAGAAAAAAAAAGAAACATCAACATGTAGGCTAGGTTACAAAAAAATAGGCCACTTATACATTTTAATTTACCTAAATACTTAATAGCCTACCGAAATATTGTCTGAATGATGAATATTGAAGATCTATTATTTAAATTAAAATTATTAGCCTGGCATAGGGCTAGGTTAATTAATTGTAATTAGGGCAGGCTAAGCCCTAAAGTCTCTTCATTCTCCAAGCTTGATTATTTTATTTCTCATTTTTAAATTAGCTGAAATAGTAACCCACAGTAAATAGGCCTACTAGATAGGCCTATACTATAGGCTGTTTATATATAACAAAAAGTAAACTAATCATTATTAACTAGGCCTACCTAATTATTACTAATTAACTAATTAATTATTAAACAATTAGGCCTAAAAAAAATTAAATTGAAAACAACATGATGGATTGGGTAGACACACGGACACCTTATTAATATTAAGTCACGTGAAAATATAGTGACCTCAAAATGTAGAGCGCCGTAGTCTACATGATAACGACCAGCCCTTGGATGACATACAACCGAAAAAAAGTTTTATACAACAGAGAACACTTAAAAAAGTGCTTACTCCGAACTGAACACTTTTCCCTCTTCCATCTTCGCCATCGAGTCAAGACGACCGCCTCATTGATTTATCGATCACGTTCTCGCAGACAAAAAACTTACCACAAACACAGCAGCACACAAGACAATCCTGGCCCTACTCTGCACTAAGACACTGTGAGAAAGGGAGTCCGCTCAGAGTCGGCATCTGTATTGATCGTGTATCGAGGAAGCAACTTTTCACATCAATCCGCCATTGATGTTTACGGAAGTAACGCACTGGACAAATTTCGATGACGTTTTATGTAAATTTCCTAGAGACCATAGTTATGAATGTAAACTAATGGCCGCCACCTTTGTCTAAGAAAGTAATAAATTTATTATTTCGCACTTTTTATAAATGTGCTTATCGGACACCGATTATACAATGTTGTTTTTTAGATAGATTAATGTCAGACGTTATCAATTAGCCTTTATAATTTCGATTAATGTTGCTTCTAACTTCTAGATCTAGATCTACACAATTTTAAAAAAAGTTGAAAATGATTTTTCTTATTTTTAAATTTTAACATTTTATTAAAAAAAGTGAATGAATGTAAATCTAGAATTATATTATTTTAGAAATCTAGATCTAGTGAGTCTAGTTATTACTGCTGTTAAGCTCCAGTAGTGTATTTAGAATCTAGTCGTCTATATCTCTAGATTCTAGATTAAATTGAGTATAGTACTATTTATTAGTACAGATAATCTAGGCCCTACTTAACTTACTATAGTAATGATGTAGCTCTGGAACTTATTTGACTTATTGACTTCAACATGAAAGTCTAAACTCTTAATTAACTGTTGTTTTAACTTGTAATTGCTAGATCTATCAAATCAAGTAACGGTAATCTAGGGTAATCTGTCGTTTTTGACTGGACTGTAAAATTGGCAAAAACTAGTAATGGGAAAAAAAGACAGAGGTTGTAGGCCTACTATATGGTAACACTGTACTCTGTACTACAGACTGTAGTGATGTTATACTTTATTTACAATTTACTAATATTTATTATTGACCTTTGCACATATGACAAAAACATGATTGGTGATTTGGGCATATATTTTCGTATACCTAAATCATTAGCACATTTACTACTTTTTTAAACACAACTTGTGTTCTTATTAGATGTGTGTAACTGTGTAAGAATATCAGAAATACACTTTTAAATTTGGTTGATATTTGAGGTGGTCTGACTCTTAGGTCTGTCTGCCTATTGTTGCCCTAAAGTCCAGATCTCACAATATTTAATCCTGAAGAATAACAAATATCTACATGTGTAGATATTTCCATTTTGTTTTTTGTTAATGAGCTGTATTTTATTTCGCAGTAAATCTCTAGGAAAACTAAGGAAAAATGTCCAAGAAAGGTGCCCCAAATGTTAAGAGTAAAAGACCTGTATCTGGGAAAAAGGGTAAAAAAGAGGAGGTGGAAGATCCTATGATAGCCATTTTAAGAAAGCTTAACGATGATCTACATGCAGAAAACAGCAGCCTTAAAGAATCTTCCTCACTCTATCATGACAAGTTACAATCAATCATTCAGCATGTTATAGATATAAACGTTGATAACTTTAAGCCAGAGGAAGGCACAGACATTATAGACCTTCCTTTAGTGGACATTACACGGATGATCACAAATCTGACGATCACATCTGGGAGTAGTTTACGGTCATACGAGGTGAGGCTGGAGGAACTAGAGACCAGAGTGACACAGCTGAATGGTGAACTGGCCAAGCTGTTGAAGCTGAAGCTGAAGGTTGAAAATGGATTGAAGGATATGGAGTTGATGTACAAGGTGGAGGATCTGAGAGTGCAAGCAAAGAGACTTTGGTATGATTGTTGTAAGTAGGCTTTGGTTTCTTTTCTTGTTTGGTGGTTAATCAGATGTAGCGAATACACCTTGATATAACTTTTGTGCGTTCACTTTTGGTGAAATCTCTTGATAAATAGTTAGGCAGTGTCCATAATTAATGTCATGCTTTTTTGATGATTTTTGTAATCCCCCCCCCCCCCCTCCCCAATCTCCCACCCTCTTTCATCATCACAAAAAGTCAGACTTGTACAGCCCAAAAATGACATCATACCTCAGTCCCTCTCCCACTCCCAAATTTACAGTTTTTTTTTTTTTAAATCTGAAATTTTTTTCCAAGCCCTTTCTGGTTCAAAACTGTATCCTTTTTTCTTCCACTGATGAATATATTCCAAGTATCAAATGTTTCTGCTACTGATTCAGAAGGAAAGTAGGCCTAATTAAAAAAATTTTATGAGTTAGTAGTATTTTAGTTGGCTAAAAATACTTTTCCATTCAATCTTTCCTCTCAAGGTTCAACTCACATTTTTGCTGTACCCAAACACAATGAACCTGTATACACAAATGGGTACATGACCCCAACCCCTGCTGGCAGTGAGTACTCCTCTAGAGCCCCAAGTGCTGATGGTGAGAGGTTGATAGAATTTGTACATGAAAACACCATTCCTCCAGACCATCTGATTGTACTGAAACCCAGGGCACGGAGCATCAGCCTGACCCCAAAAGACTCTGAAAATGAAGATTTGCAGCCTGTAAGTAATTTCTTTTAAAGATTTTGTTTATTTATGTTGGATAACTGACAATTCATGGTAAAATAAAAATAAAAAATTTGTTTGCTAAATTTATTTAATCATACTTTTTATAAATCTGAAATTAAATTTTTCAAATTAAAAATATAAATGAAAGCAGTTTCCAAAGGCAAAGTAGAAGTAGGGACTAAGTTATTTTTTTTTCAGTAGGTGAATGCAGTTGGCATAATCTAGACGAAAAAGGAAAAATAAAATCTTTGAAATTCTTTTTGTGTGAAAATTTCATTTGTGTGTAACCAATGTGTTTATGTAAAAAAATGTGTTTGTGTGTAACCAATGTGTTTATGTAAAAAAATGTGTTTGTGTGTAACCAATATGTTTATGTAAAAAAATGTGTTTGTGTATAACCAATGTGTTTATGTGTAAATAATGTTTTTATTTTTCTACCCAATCATTGATGTATTCTTATTTACTAAAACTTTCAGCCTGAGAGGAAGATGCCTGGAGAAACTCACATCTTTGACATGCATGACGGCCTTAGAAGTGTGATCATTCGAAGTCTCAGCAAACGTAAAGGAAATGGTAAGTTAGCACAAGCAATTAGGGCAGAGGACTTTATGTCTGCGCATCAAATTCCTGAAAATATTCATGTCAGATAATATTACTATTTTATTCCATTTAAAAAAATTGATTATCTCTTTGAATATTTATTTAAAACAGGCAATGATTGGCGTTTGATTGCTGATCGTGTTGGTATACCAGTGGATCTGAAGGAGCAGTGGTTAAGGATGAGGGCGCCAAATGCCATGGCGCTGGTGATGAAAGTGTGGGGAGACAGTCTAGGAGCCACAGTCAGAATGTTGCACAGACACTTGTCTTCACCTCAGATGAAGTCAGTCATGTTGGCAAAAATGATTTCAGATTTCTATGATGTTGACTGATAAAAACTGTGTTGAAAGATCAGTAAAATACATTTCCGAATTGTGTGTGTCTAATAAATTATTTAAAATTTAATATAATTATGACAGTTTTAAATTAAACATTTAAAGTTTTTCTCCTGTTAAACTATATACTAGGATTAATTTTGTTGTTTAGAAAATATAATTTTTAAATGCATTTTCTAGTGGATCAAGTCTGTTTCTCATTGATTGATAAATTCAAATATTCATCTAGTTAATTGTTATACAATAGATATCTGTGTTACAAAAACTAAGTTGCCAAAATGTCGTATTTTCAAATTAAAAGCCAAAACACCTAAAAGTATTGTAACAATTTCAATGTTATTTTTTTGCTCTTTCTTTACTTTAGAAGGAAGGAATCAATATTGTGTGATGTGTTTATTTATACCATAAGTCCAGTCCGTTTTTTTATACACACTCATGTCATATTAGTTAATTGTTAAATATGATTGGTTTGCATTTTACACCAAGTAATATTACCTCCTAATGTGATTTATTATAATGTTATTGAAATCTGTGATATTGGTGTTGTATTACAATTTTTAAAAGACAGAGATTAGTTGTTTCAATACTGTTGATAAAACTAATGTTGATAATTTTATTTTTATACAAACTTTATTCTTCCACCAAATTTACTGATCTTCCCCTTTTCTTTATGTCTCTGTGAATTTTGTTTTTACATTTGGCTCTTTACTTAAAAAACATATCTGGCCAATCTCTCATAAATTTTGACTTTTAATGGGAACAAGCCTGGTCATTTAACATACAATTTTGTCTGAGTGATTTCTATGTAGGTTTTTGTTCCTTTACTGCCCAGGCTATCTCTCACCAAAACACAAGGGAGATAACTATGTGTTGTGCATTATAAATATTTAAAAAAAAATTAACCTTGACAAACTTTTTTCTCTTTTTTTATGTTGAACAAGTTTAAAAATTGTATTTATTTTTCTACCCAATCATTGCTATATCTAGTTCTTGTATATGTTTATGGAGTTGTGTCCCTGTTTATAACTTTATCAACAAAAAACTGATTGAATTTGTTTGAAGCCAATGTTTCATAAAATAAATATACTTCTATTTCTATACCCAATTGTAATGTATTACTAATAAAACTACTCAAACAATTGTTTTCTAGATGTACTGTATAAAGAATGGGAATTTGATTATAATACCAAAAGAAATTGTTTACTCATTTAAACAGACAATTAAATGTTAATAATGATATTAATTATATAGCTCTATACACCCATTATGCATTCACAATGTAACTAATTTGTTTAAAAGAGAGTGTTTCAAAGCTTTTAGTGATTGCAACAAAATTAAAATTTATGCAATGATTTTTAAATGGCTTTCAATAAAAAAAAATATAGCTAATGGACTTGTTATTGTGTAAATTTAATGAATGAAGACTTCATTGAAGCATTTGCTTTATCTTGTTTTTTTTTTTTTTTTTTACTTTTGATGTTTCATATCAACTGGTCTCTGAATGTTTTCTTTTCCTGAAGTTATCAAGGACTATGTGCTTCATATTTGTAATTTCAAAAATGTATTAGATTTATTTATTAAATAAAAATAAAGGCTATTATCATCTCAAAATTTAGACTAAAATAGTTTACTGTAATTGCATATGGGCGTTCAGTTTTTACCTTGCATAGTTTTGAACAAATACTATCAACAAACAAAAAAAATACACTTAAGACATTGTCCTTTATATTTAATCAACATTCTATTTTTATTATCAACAGCTATCAAATCCAGTGGTAGACATTATAGTAGTCATAAAAATACATAGTAAACAAAGTCACATGACACCCCTTAATACATTGTAAATTCAGTCACATGACATTTCTTGTTTATAATATCATAGAAAAGTAACCAGTTTAATAAATGACATTGTCCAGGAAAACTTAAACATCTGTTTATATAAGCAATATGTAAATTTAGAGATACAAATGTAATTAGCATGCATTAATATAAAAAAAAACAACTTTAAGTAACTCAATAAGTAATTAATATAATAATTTTATGATAAATTGCACTTGATAAAATTCTGTCTTCTTCAAGAGGCGATTGTTTTAAAATCATTGACCTTTACCAATCAAACATTAATTAGAAAAATTAATTTAAAAAAATTAATTGCATAAGAAAAAATTTGACAATCAAACCTTAAAAGAGATTCACAGCAAAAGCACTAATAGATTTCCATCATGACATTTTCAATGTGGGAAAACAATTTATTTAACATTACTATAATAGATATTGACAAAATGGAATACAACAGATCTAAAAAAAAAATGTTTTAAAAAGAATACATTTTGGCAATGGTTTGAACATCATGTATTAATGTGCATAACTGTTGGTTAAAAAAAGAATTAAAATCTCTCAAAAAGGTTTTAGTCATTGATCAGCAACACATCTGCTGAACTTACTTGAAAATATTTAAAGTTAGTTTTCAATGACTTTTTTTTTACAACCTGTTAAAAGGTCTAAAAAAAATAGCTTACATACAAAATGTATACAGGGTGTTTTTTTTACATTTATTTTAATTTAAAAACTAATTCAGTAATGTATAAAGGTAGGTAACTTTATTAAAAAAAAATTCAGCTCATTTTACTAAGCGAAAATTAGATGAGACTTTGTGACTAGAGAGTGTATTAAATGCAAGGGAGGTAATAACATTAAGAAGAAAAATAAATGTTAACTTGCTCTGGTTATGCTTGAAATATATTATAGACACTTAGCAGCAAATTTTGTGCAAAAAATACTTAAAATTTATTTAAAAAATATTTTCTTAATTTCTTCAGTGCCTTGAATAATTTTAGTATAAGCGGATCAAACTTATGATAAGATTGAGGGGAGAGTAGGACGACTATAGAAAACACAGTTACCCATGTTTGAATGAGACAAAATGACTCATATTAACAGTATAAAAACACTAACGTAACACCAATTTAAAGTCCTGAGTTTCAGTTCCGTATACTACTAAAATATTATCTAAATGATCTTTTATATCAGGTTCTGCTCAAACACAGAAATAAGTGCATCAATACACCTCTTAATAATTGTTAGCAAATGTAAGCTTCGTTGTACTCTTTTTGGCCAATTGTTTATAAATAAAATGTACAAAAAATCCTACAATTAATATGACATCAATTTAACAAAGTTATTTTAGAAAAATCAGAAAAGAACAAGTTAAACAAAAGGTAGTTAAGTTTTATGGATATAAAATAGGTGTTAGTAGTTTTAAAATGTCTTTTAGACTAGAAATACTGTGAAACTTGTAGAAATACTCTAAAACCTCAGATAAATGCAGAATACTAAAACCACTCAAATGCAAAATACTAACTACAGTAAAAAAACTACCTTTCCACAAATCAAACAGGCTGAAATTAAAAGAGACTTCTAATCACACAAGCAAATTAATACAAAAAAAAAGTAACTGGGGTATTTAGCCACAACCTATTTCTGCTGCCCATCATGAAAACGTCTGGTTCATTATATCCACAATTTCTTGTTTGTGAAGTTCACCAATACCAACTGCGGGAATTCCCAATATTTCTCTCCCAGCATACTTGAGCTGTGGAAACAAAATTTATTTCACATACATTTTCAGTCTCTATCTACAAACTTTATTTTGTTCAAGAATGCAACTCTGTGTTAAAAAAACTAAGACACAGTTATATATATACTGTATATGTATCCTTTCGTCCTTTTGGACATGGTGGTCCATTAGGCAGATGAAGTAGAGTTCATCAGTTTCTCTGACCTCTGAGATATTTTGTTCTGTTCTATGCACTACCATCTTTAATTTCCAAAATCTGAGCCAGGTACCCATCAGAGCTGGGTGGACTCAGTCTTATCTTAAGATCCAAACTTAAGACATTCAGGCTAGCAGTTATGTGCTCTATCGCCCAACCATGCTGTACCACAAGACACTTTTAGTCATGTTAAAGAAATGACTGAAAGATTTCAATCAATTAAAATTTTCAGGGAATTCTATGCCCAACTGACATCCATACTAAAAAACAAACTAATTTCTCTATGACAAAATATATGTGATTATACATATAGTATGGGATGTGTTAATTGCATCATACAACAGAGTTAAACAGCTATAGTTAAGACAAGACTTACACGTCACCAATTAATGAGATTAGGATTTTCGGATGAAGGGGTCAAATGTGATTTAAATGTGTATTATTCAAGAATTACTGAGCCAGTAGACGTGTAGCAACACATTAACCCTTTACAGCCCAATATGTCTGTGTGTTATTTCATTAACCCTTTACAGCCCAATATGTCTGCGTGTTATTTCATTAACCCTTTATAGCCCAATATATCTGCGTGTTATTTCATTAACCCTTCACAGCCCAATATGTCTGCGTGTTACTTAACTAGTCTAAAGCAGCTTTGTGACCCAAACTTACATTACAACCAATGAGATTCCTAAATCTTGGGTTGACAAAACTCCATGCACCCATATTTCTGTGCTCCTCCTGACTCCAGATGAACTCTTTAGCTTTGGGGTAAGTTTTCAAGACTTCCTGTAGCTCTCCAGCAGGGAAGGGACAAAGGCTCTATACACATAAAAAAAAGTATCTGTAATAAAATACTCATTATAAAATAACTGATCATCATCTTTTCCTGTTTGTCCCCCAGACACATGGGTAAGATGAAGTAGAGTTCACCTATTTCAATGACCACCGCAAACAGGGTGATAACATAATAGAACAATAAAAAAAAAACACATGAAATAGTTATTATGAGTGCATATTTTTTTTATCATATTCTTGTAGTACAAAATGTTATTTTAACAGTACAATTTAAACTGTTTTTACCATGAAATAGTTGGTTTTTCTAATTTTTATATTTTATTAATTGAACCATGGCATTTTACGGTAAATCAAAATTTTATTTCCTTACCTCAAGTCTAACAAAAGCAACATGCTTAGCTCCCCTGGACTCCCTCTCCGTGACCAGAGCGTAGTAATGTTTACCAGAGCAGAAGACGACACGCGTGACATCAGCGGGGGACACGCCAGGGTCAGACAACACAGGCAGGAAGTGTGTGCCGGGCTGCATGTCAGGCAGGGTGGACGTGGCCGCAGGCAGGCGCAGGACTGTTTTAGGGGCCGCAACTATCAATGGCTTGCGGAAGTTCCGCAGCATCTAAACATTGATATGAGTTGAGTTAGACAACTCTCAGTGTGACCATATTAGAAAATACTTATACGAGTTGGGTTAGAAAAAAATAAACTATTTAAAATTCCAGGCTAAAAAATAAAAATAAGACATGGTTTAAAGACCAAAAATACACAGTCGACTCATCCAAATGACAATACAGAGAAAAACCTAGCCATCAATATATTGTTAGCTAACTATAAAGAAAGTTAAACAATGCAGAGAATATAATACAAAGCCACCTGTCTCCTGAGTAGATGGAAGTACTGGGCAGGAGTTGTAGGGTTAACTATTTGTATATTGACATCATCACCATCCACCTTGTCCTCCTTGCTATCACATTGCTGCACACAAACAAACAGCAAACTACAGCAACATTTTTTTAAAAACAAACTACAGCAGCATTTTTAAAAAACAAACAACAGCATAATTTTTTAAAAACAAACTACAGCAACATTTTTTAAAAACAAACTACAGCGAAATTTTTTAAACAAACTACAGCAACATTTTTTAAACATACTACAGCAACATTTATAAAAAAAACAAAAAAAAACTACAGCAACATTTTTTTAAAACAAACTACAGCAACATTTTTTAAACATACTACAGCAACATTTATAAAAAAAAAAAAATACGTCAATATTTTTTAAAAACAAACTACAGCGACATTTTTTAAAAACAAACTACAGCAACATTTATTAAAAACATACTACAGCAACATTTATTAAAAAAAACAAACTACGTCAATATTTTTTAAAAACAAACTACAGCGACATTTTTTAAAAACAAACTACAGCAACATTTATTAAAAACATACTACAGCAACATTTATTAAAAACATACTACAGCAACATTTATTAAAAACCTACAGCAACTTTTTTTTAAACAAACAGGAAACTACAGCAACATTGTTTAAAAAAACAGGAAACTACAGCAACATTGTTTAAACAAACAGGAAACTACAGCAACATTTTTCAAAAACAAAATACAGCAGCATTTCTTAAAAACCTACAGCAATATTTTTTTAAACAAACAGGAAACTACAGCAACATTTTTTTATGTTAATGTTTGTGCAGGTATGTGAGTATTTACCAGTAGAAACCTTTCAATCCTGCAAGAGGAATGTTCTGGTCCAGCACCGTCCATCCCATGAGGTAACAACATGACTAGGCCTGACTGTAACAGCCACTTCACTGTAAGAACAAACTACATTAGTTGACAGACAACATATGATATGTGGGTTTATAGAACAACTTACATTAGTTGACTAAAAACAGGGTCTATGTGGGTTTATACTACCCTAACATGATGGACAGGTACTTAATTAGGGCTGAGCTGACTCAATGAAGTAACATGGTCAGACATAATTGTAACAACCACTTCACTGAAGGGACAAACTACTTTAGTTGATTAAAAACAGGGTCTATGTGGGTTTTTACTACCCTAACATGATGGACAGGTACTTAATAGGGCTGAGCTAACTCAATGAAGCAAGTTGAGAAATTGGATCTGTTAGTATTTGAATCCAGTTAGTGATACGGCACTTAGGCTAATACAACAGCCTGCCAGCTGATGGTAAAATTTCTAGGCACTAAGTCTAACTAATAGTAAAAGTTTAATTAACGAAGCCTAATACAAACTTCTTCTTCTTCGTTCTTAATTTTTAGTGTTGGAAAGGATCCCCCATCCAACACAATTAAGGATACGTGTCAACTGGTTATGCGCCATAGAGGCCATTGACTCTGATTTCAGCCCTGCTTTTCTTTTGGGATTTGCTTCCACAGCCTTTGTCCAACCAAGAACAAACTACAGGGCAGCAGTTGTTTGATTTTGGAGTTGTCTCTCCTAGAAGAGTGGCTGACCCCAGCTAACGAGCCTCATCTGCCCGAGGGTTTGAACTCGGGACTTTTCGGTTTAGCAACCATTAGCTTTACCGACTGGACCACGCCGACCCCTCTAAAAGTTAAAGCAACAAAGCCTAACTAATACAAACAAAAGTTAAAGCAACTAAGCCTTACTAATAAAACCAAACTATCCACCCAGACCAAGAAAAAAAAATTGTCCTCACACTCCCCGCAGGTGACATAGGTGTCTATGATGGTCTGGGCGGCGTTGAAGAAGTCACCAAACTGGGCCTCCCAGATGACCAGAGTCCGAGGGTTGTCTATGCTGAAGCCATACTCAAACCCCAGCACGCCTTCTTCTGATAGGGCACTGTTGGCTACCTGTTCAAAGGGAGGTCATTTGGTCAAACATATACACAAATCTGTTCATTTTAGGTTGCACAAATGTACACAAATCTGTCCAAAACTGGGCACAAATATACACAATTCTGTACAATTTGGTTGCACAAATATACACAATTCTGTACAATTTGGTTGCACAAATATACTCAAATCTGTCCAAAACTGGGCACAAATATACACAAATCTGTCCAAAACTGGGCACAAATGTACACAAATCTGTCCAAAACTGGGCACAAATGTACACAAATCTGTCCAAAACTGGGCACAAATATACACAAATCTGTCCAAAACTGGGCACAAATATACACAAATCTGTCCAAAACTGGGCAGAAATATACACAAATCTGCCCAAAACTGGGCACAAATATACACAATTCTGTACAAATTTGGTTGCACAAATGTACACAAATCTGTCCAAAACTGGGCACAAATGTACACAAATCTGTCCAAAACTGGGCACAAATATACACAATTCTGTACAAATTTGGTTGCACAAATGTACACAAATCTGTCCAAAACTGGGCACAAATGTACACAAATCTGTCCAAAGGGAGGTCACCTGGTTAAACATATAAATAAATCTGTCACAATTCAAAAGCATAAGAACTACAGACAATGTTTACATCACCTTTAGAATCAAACATGAGAAGCTTTTTTAAAAAAATCTTGGAAATAATTACATACACAATGGATCAGATATTTTAAAAAAATTAGCGACATATAATCTTTTTAAGATAAGTATATTTTCACAAGTCAAGCATACCTCAAAGAATGCAGTAAAATAAGGTACCGATTCAGATCTTAATTGTTTCTTCAGCCTTTGAGTTGTGTGGTCAGCATCATACCCAGCAAACTAAACATAACTCAAGGAAATGTTGCGACAACAAACCTACCTCAAAGAATGCTGTCTGTGTGTCCGAGAGTTTGTTGAGAGGAATGTAGATGTGGTCAGTCAACTGGTCAACAATCATACAATGTCTGTGGCTAAAGGTGCCTCGGCCGACATCTTGTCCACTTATTCTTACACCATAGCCTGGGGGATAGGATGGGGAATATATAATAACACCTGGGGGTAGGATAAGGTATATGTAATTATGCCTGAGGTAGGATAGGAATTTATTAAGCCTGGGGAATTAGAATAGAGAATCTGTCATTTCTACTGGGGGATAGGATGGGGAAAACAAAATCAAGCCCATGTCTCATAACACAAATCCCATGTCCCATGACAAAAACCCATGTCCCATGACAAAACCCATGTCCCTTGACAAAACCCAATGCCCCTTGACAAAACCCAATGCCCCATAACAAAACCCATGCCCCATGACAAAACCCATGTCCCTTGACAAAACCCAATGCCCCATGACAAAAACCCATGTCCCATGACAAAAACCAATGTCCCATGACAAAACCCAATGCCCCATGACAAAAACCCATGTCCCATGACAAAACACCATGTCTCATGACAAAACACCATGTCTCATGACAACATATGACAAAAACCCATGTCCCATGACAAAACCCAATGCCCCATGACAAAAACCCATGTCCCATGACAAAACACCATGTCTCATGACAAAACACCATGTCTCATGACAACATATGACAAAAACCCATGTCCCATGACAAAACCCAATGCCCCATGACAAAAACCCATGTCCCATGACAAAACACCATGTCTCATGACAAAACACCATGTCTCATGACAACATATGACAAAAACCCATGTCCCATGACAAAACCCCATGACAGTACCTTGATGGAGCAGGGAGCCAATGGCTAAAGCCTCACAAGTGGCCCAGTCCAAGTCCACTCCTTCAGTCAGTCTCTGTAGCCTTCTGTCTATGTGGGTCTTCTTGATGGTTGGGTGGACATTCTGGAGAGAGAAATGGAAGCAGTTTCAGAAGTAATTGCAAAAGATGGCACTGGGTGGGGCACATCTGAGAATGAATCCAGAAGACATCACAGGAATGGTGCTAATCTGGATGCATCAAGGAAAAAGAAAGCAGGGAAGGCCAAGGGAGGCGTGGAGGCACACAGCATGGAAGCAGCAGACAGGCAGGACTGTCAAGTGGGGAGTTCCAGGAAAATTGCTGTTGACCATCAAAAGTGGATGGAGCTTTTTGTGATGGTCCCATGTGTCTTGGGCACAAAAGGAGAAGATGATGGTGACCATCCATTTATACTTTCAGCATTAGCTTGAAAGAGCTTGAGGACAAAATTGACTCATTTTTATCAACAAGTGTTAGTAATGTTGTTTCAACTTGAAGTCATAGGTGTTAGATTCACCAGCCTGTAATGGCTACACTACTCACCAAATCTTCAGGCACGGCTACAGATTTAGCCCCCACTACTCACCAAATCTTCAGGCACGGCTACAGATTTAGCCCCCACTACTCACCAAATCTTCAGGCACGGCTACAGATTTAGCCCCCACTGCTCACCAAATCTTCAGGCACGGCTACAGATTTAGCCCCCACTACTCACCAAATCTTCAGGCACGGCTACAGATTTAGCCCCCACTACTCACCAAATCTTCAGGCACGGCTACAGATTTAGCCCCCACTACTCACCAAATCTTCAGGCACGGCTACAGATTTAGCCCCCACTACTCACCAAATCTTCAGGCACGGCTACAGATTTAGCCCCCACTACTCACCAAATCTTCAGGCACGGCTACAGATTTAGCCCCCACTGCTCACCAAATCTTCAGGCACGGCTACAGATTTAGCCCCCACTGCTCACCAAATCTTCAGGCACGGCTACAGATTTAGCCCCCACTGCTCACCAAATCTTTAGGCACGGCTACAGATTTAGCCCCCACTACTCACCAAATCTTTAGGCACGGCTACAGATTTAGCCCCCACTACTCACCAAATCTTTAGGCACGGCTACAGATTTAGCCCCCACTTCTCACCAAAATCTTTAGGCACGGCTACAGATTTAGCCCCCACTACTCACCAAATCTTCAGGCACGGCTACAGATTTAGCCCCCACTACTCACCAAATCTTCAGGCACGGCTACAGATTTAGCCCCCACTGCTCACCAAATCTTCAGGCACGGCTACAGATTTAGCCCCCACTACTTACCAAATCTTTAGGCACGGCTACAGATTTAGCCCCCACTACTCACCAAATCTTTAGGCACGGCTACAGATTTAGCCCCCACTTCTCACCAAATCTTTAGGCACGGCTACAGATTTAGCCCCCACTACTCACCAAATCTTCAGGCACGGCTACAGATTTAGCCCCCACTACTCACCAAATCTTCAGGCACGGCTACAGATTTAGCCCCCACTGCTCACCAAATCTTCAGGCACGGCTACAGATTTAGCCCCCACTACTCACCAAATCTTCAGGCACGGCTACAGATTTAGCCCCCACTACTCACCAAATCTTCAGGCACGGCTACAGATTTAGCCCCCACTGCTCACCAAATCTTCAGGCACGGCTACAGATTTAGCCCCCACTACTCACCAAATCTTTAGGCACGGCTACAGATTTAGCCCCCACTGCTCACCAAATCTTCAGGCACGGCTACAGATTTAGCCCCCACTACTCACCAAATCTTCAGGCACGACTACAGATTTAGCCCCCACTGCTCACCAAATCTTCAGGCACGGCTACAGATTTAGCCCCCACTACTCACCAAATCTTTAGGCACGGCTACAGATTTAGCCCCCACTACTCACCAAATCTTCAGGCACGGCTACAGATTTAGCCCCCACTACTCACCAAATCTTCAGGCATGGCTACAGATTTAGCCCCCACTACTCACCAAATCTTCAGGCACGGCTACAGATTTAGCCCCCACTACTCACCAAATCTTTAGGCACGGCTACAGATTTAGCCCCCACTACTCACCAAATCTTTAGGCACGGCTACAGATTTAGCCCCCACTACTCACCAAATCTTTAGGCACGGCTACAGATTTAGCCCCCACTACTCACCAAATCTTCAGGCACGGCTACAGATTTAGCCCCCACTACTTACCAAATCTTTAGGCACGGCTACAGATTTAGCCCCCACTACTCACCAAATCTTCAGGCACGGCTACAGATTTAGCCCCCACTACTCACCAAATCTTCAGGCACGGCTACAGATTTAGCCCCCACTACTTACCAAATCTTCAGGCACGGCTACAGATTTAGCCCCCACTACTTACCAAATCTTTAGGCACGGCTACAGATTTAGCCCCCACTACTCACCAAATCTTCAGGCACGGCTACAGATTTAGCCCCCACTACTCACCAAATCTTTAGGCACGGCTACAGATTTAGCCCCCACTACTCACCAAATCTTCAGGCATGGCTACAGATTTAGCCCCCACTACTCACCAAATCTTCAGGCACGGCTACAGATTTAGCCCCCACAAATTTGAGAACATCAGCATTGACGCCGGTGTCCCAGACAGTGATGTTGTCACTTGCCTGGACCAGAGATGACCAGTGACCTTGGAGATGAAATGGCTGAAAATTACAAGCGCTACATTATAAAACAAAGTAATTTTTTGTAGCTTAACAAATGAATATACTACTCACAGATAAAATTTAAAATAAATGTATCATCCAAATATAAAATTATGAAAATTTTAAACAATATATTTAAAAAAAAAAAAGAAACTTACATACAGAAATGTATCATCCAAATATAAAATTGTGAAAATTTTAAACAATATATTTAAAAAAAAAAAAAGAAACATGCAAATACCATCCTTACCTTGGTTTGATGTGAAGGCACTTGGTCTAAGTTCTCTTGTAGAACAGAGTTCCAAGAATTAACAGTTTCTTTTAATGACTCTTCACTGCATATTCCTGATTGCTGAAACAAAAACACACTTTTATACTGCACATAACAATTTGACCACATTACAACAGCATCAATTATGATAATCACCTGCATTAGTTATGTTGATGACATAATTAGCTGACCACACAACAACTGCATTAGTTATGTTGATTATCTAATTACCACAAGAAACTGGGCATATAAAATCATGTGTAGCATGACTGGGCATATAAAATATGTACCAAGACAGGGCATATATAATCATGTGTACCATGACTGGGCATATAAAATGTGTAGCAACAACAAGAGTCTGGGTGTATAAAATGTGTACCAACCACAAGAGACTGGGCGTATCAAATGTGTACCAACCACAAGAGACTGGGCGTATCAAATGTGTACCAACCACAAGAGACTGGGCATATAAAATGTGTACCAACCACAAGAGACTGGGCGTAGTTCTCTGGAATACTTTTCCTGCTGTTGATGACCTTGTACATGTTGGGCTGTGTAAACATTGGCTCATCCAACTCATTGTGACCCCACTTGCGATAGCAAAGGTAATCTATAATTACATCCCGACGGAATTTATGGCGATATTCCATTGCTAATGATGTTGCCTTAATCACATCCTGAAAATTAATTAATAAACTCAGTTATTTTAAAAGATAAAATATTAAATTAATAAATAAAAAATATCTTACTATGTGAAAAGTACTTTCGAAGCCATGTTACTAAGTCTATGACATCTTTAAAATACAATGCTAAATGTTATTAACACTCACCTATCACAAAATTTACCTACGATCAAGAGATTTTTCTACAATAGGTACCTTTGCTTTATTTCCACTTAAAAGATTAACTTAGACTTGGGACATTATTTACAAAGGGCATTAAATTGACCACAAGTTTATGGCCCATTGTAGTCTCCTAATTGAAAGCTTTTGCAGAAGTACAAGAATGACTAAAAATTGGCCACTTAAACATTTCCTCTTTATAAATTTAAGAAGCAATAAATGACTAACACATACAAATAAAAAACATGAATTGGGGAAGTTTCAATTAGCCCTTTACTGTGCATTAACCTTTATTGTTAACCTGAATTGGCTTCACCTTCTGTACAGCCAAGCAAAGGGAAATAACTCTTTTTTAAATAAATAATTGTTGCTTAGAATAAGTAATTAATTAAAATCTATCAGCATTTAAAAATTAAAACAAAATGTAATTCACAGATAAAAATAGATGCCAATTATTGTGCATTACTTTCAATTACCATGCAATAAACATTTTAATTAAAAAACCAGCATCAAACTTAATTGTGAAAAAAATGGCCTACAGAGAACAGGTGTTTTTGGACTGTAAAGTATTAAGGTACAGGTATGCTGAGGTGACACTAAGTGAGATGAGGAGGGTATCTCAAGTTTGAAGTCAAGTGAAAGTCTGACTCACCTCTGGATTATCTCCATTGACATGTATGACAGGGTATCCATTCACCTTTGCTATATCACTGCAGTACTGAGAAGATCTGAGAGCAGACACCAGAGTAAAAGTCAGATACATCACAGGTCACTTTAAGCAGCATTCGTAACGATTCTTTAATTCTTCTTCTGCGTTCTTAATTTTAGTCTTGGAAGAGATGCCCTCCAACACAATTAAGTATATGTGTCAACTGGTTATGCACCATTTAGGCCGTTTACTTCTTTTATTGATACTTTTCACACATAGAGGCTTATATTATTTAAAATCAGATTTTGCTAACTTGAAATATTTCTAAATGTCACTTTGTTTTTTCTAATAGAAGTTTTTCCAGATACCTTATTGTAAGTTTAAAATCATCTAAAATATCACTATGATCGCCCTTTAATTTAAACATTTTTTTAACAACTTGTTTTTCTATTGTGTTTGCTTTCAAGCAAGCCTACGGAGAACCAACTAATGCCATTCATTATCTGACGCTGGTTAAGGTGAGCTAAGACTGCAGGATATGTCACCTTCAACCCTCTACTACCCCAACACCAAATACTCACCTTCCTCTCTCAGCCTCCGTGGTAAATCCCACCTGGTTGTTGACGATGAGGTGGATGCTGCCTCCCGTCTCAAAATGTGGGGTGTTTGCAAAACAGAAAGTTTCTGCCACAACACCCTGTTCAGGTTTAAATTAGGTAATTTGTAACTTGTAGAAATAAATATAAAAGTTGTAATTTTTTTTATTTCTTATAGGAATTATTAAGATGTTGAGCTTGCCAAATAAAAATAGTATTTAAACAATTTAGTTTTAGATATTTTTTTAATTAAAAAAATTTCATAAAACAAATAATACAACAAAATAAGTAGTTTTTTTTTTAAAGAAACTAATTATTGGCAACAGAGTTGCAACATAAATGTCATAAAATTAAAAAAATTATTTTTTAATTTAATTGTTTAATATTATTCTATTAATGTTAAAACAGTAGAATATATTTCACATATTAAAAAAAAAAACTGTTCTAGTTGAAATTTTAAAAACTCCAGCTTACCTGGCCAACAAAACTAGCATCTCCATGCACTTGTAAGCACAGAACTCCATCGCCAGGTAAGGCCCCAGGTTTACAGCTGTAGTCTCCCAACTTGCCAGTTTGGAGTTTAGATCTTGCCTTACCAACAGCTACAGGATTATTAGCCTGACATTGACATAAAAAATATAATCAAAACTATTTTTAAAAACCATAAAATGAAATACAGAGAATTACCTCTAAATGTAAAATATTGAGTTACCTCTAGATGTTTACAGTGTGTTACCTCTTAATGTGAAATACTGAATTACATCTAAATTTAAAATACTTGTTACCTCTATATGTTTACATACTGAGTTACCTCTAGATGTTTAAATGTGAGTTACCTATAGATGTTTAAATAGTGAGTTAACTCTAGATGTGAAATACTGAATTTACATCTTAATGTAAAATACTGAGTTACCTCTAGATGTTAAAATGTGAGTTACCTATAGATGTTTAAAAAATAGAGAGTTACCTCTAGATGTTTAAATAGTGAGTTACTTCAAAATGTGAAATACTAAGTTACCTCTAGATGTGAAGGATTAGGAATGAGTGAGACATGGACTTGCTTCCCATCGTATGGCAGATCAACTGATGTATCTAGAAAATATTTTTATCTCTTTTTAGTATTAAAACAACTACATAGAATAAAAAAATATTATTTAAACAACCAAACAATGTTTTCTTGTTTTTAGTATTGAAAACAAAAAAATAGCTAAAAACAAAAATAACAGAACATTAAAACATTACAGGACATGTAAGGGACAAATTTATTTTAGTTACAAAAATGTATGTTCTTATAAAAAGGATGTAGGTTAAACAGTTAATTTTAAATTAAATTATAAAAACAAAAAATTTAGAATCTAAGTGACTCTAACCTACTAGAATCTATATATATAATTCTCTTCTGGGAGACGCTAGAAAACAAGCTGTAAGCGTGCTCCCTACCAACCCCACCCAGGGGAATAGCGAGGGGGGGGGGGCGGGGGGTGCGGACCGCACCGGGTGACACCATTTAGGGGGGTGACACCAAGGCAAAAAATAGCAAAATATATAGAGAAAAACTTGAGGGGGGGGGGGGTGCAAACCGAAAGTTTGAGGGGAGGTGCAAATCGAAAACATGAAAGTTTGTCCCTGGGAAGGGTCGCAACGCCTCTGGGGGGGGGGGTGACACCATTAAGTGCCGCACCGGGTGACACCCGACCTCGCTACGCCACTGCCCCCACCCCTACATGGTCTGGTGAGCTGTGGTTCACGCTTAATGTTTACAAGCAGAGCCAGGTTTAGTGACGACTATTAGGGGCAGATAATTTAGTTTGAAAGGATTTTAAACGTAGGGGGTGGGGTAACTAAGTGGAGTTTACTTTAACGGAGGGGGGGGGGGGGGGAGTAGGGGGGTTATCGTCCTTATAGTGTTTTAAAGAAATATTTTCAGTGGCAGCGTTGGTACTGTCGAATTCACAAATTATGAATTACTGGAAAGTAGAAAAAACAACAACTAAATAGCGGCTTATGATATGCTGCGGGCCGGCTAGTTACAAATAAACCACCAATACCAAGAATAAAGATTAAGAACCTGAAACTCACACAAATGTGACAACACATCTCCCACACTTTTTGCTCCGGCTGGGATCTCTGACAGTCCTTTCATCTGGTCAATAAAGTAAAATATACAGTAGTATTTTCTTACGAAGTAAAATATACAGTAGTATTTTCTTACAAAGTAAAATATACAGTAGTATTTTCTTACAAAGTAAAATATACAGTAGTATTTTCTTACAAAGTAAAATATACAGTAGCATTTTCTTACAAAGTAAAATATACAGTAGCATTTTCTTACAAAGTAAAATATACAGTAGCATTTTTTACAAAGTAAAATATACAGTAGTATTTTCTTACAAAGTAAAATATACAGTAGCATTTTCTAACAAAGTAAAATATACAGTAGCATTTTCTTACAAAATAAAATACGCAGAAGCATATTTTCTTAAACCTTAATGGCTTTAGCTAGTAGTCAGTCTATGTTTTGCTATCAGCTTGCAGCTTAATATGCAATTACAACTGTCTCTGGCTTTATGTATGAAAGTCCTCTTGCCAAGGACTAATGGTCAGCCCAATTATTGCATAAAAGTCAAATTGCTATGGACTAATGGTCACTTGACTGAATATCTAAATAAAATAGCCTTGACTGAATGATATTTTAAAAGTTAACTGTTAACACCTGCACATTACCTTTCTGAACATGATAACAGGTGGAAAGTTTAACAAGCAGGTCATGAAGTTAAGTCGACCTCTGTGAGGCATACAGATGACAACATCTTTAACATCATCTAGAAAATACATGTCAGGTCATACATCTTTAACAAAATCAAGAAAATATATGTCAGGTCGTACATCATGAATATCATCTAGAAAATACATAAGTCAGGTACTTATGGATCATATTCTAAAACGGTTTTATATCATTTATGTATTAGCTGATATTAGTGAAAATATGTCATATATAATAGTGAAAATATACAGATTTTGATCAATTTATCTTTAAAAGTAAACAATTCATTTTTAAATCTGAGAAACCATTGTAAAGAAGAATAGAAAATACTCTAAAAGAAACTAAAAAAAAAAGTTCCATTATATATACTAAAGAAGTTACCCACCAAATTGTGAAGCACTATTTTATTGCACATGATGCCAGGCTTACTAGTGAAGAATTGTGTTTAGCAAATGTCTGACTTGGTGAACACACAACTTACACTGAGCACATTTTTTAAAAACTTCGTCAAAACATCCCATCATGCTCTCCCCACCTTCACCTCCATAGCGTTTCACAGTTGAAAACTTGAGGCCAACAAAATGGTCAAATGCCTGATGGTAGTCAAATAAAATGTCAAAAAGAAATTTTTATCTCTTTATAAAATTTTTTTTAAAAAGTCTATACTACTGTGTACATAGGTAAAATACAAAATAGCTGTCAAACGTTTGAAAATTATTTACTAATTCAAGGTACAAATAAAAATTGACAGGAGCAGAAAAAATTTTGTACCAACCTCACACCTTAGAAGCAGTTTTGCTAGCTCAACTTTTCTGGAATCTGAGATGTCGATCTGTTCTCTGGTTTCAAATTTTTCAGCAAACCACAGGCGTTCTTCTTGAGTCTGAAATAACAAATTTTGATAGCATTCGTGCACTACACACAGATTTTTTAAAATGGCTTTTTATAGCAAGGTAATATAGCATTATATTAAGGTTCTAGTAAGGCTACTGTGTTTGTTATTGTCTGGAAGAGGGATAAAAAAAAAGCTATGCTAGCGCGATAAATGCTCTTAGAAGAACAATTGTATCTATTTCTTCAATTTATCATAGGAACAGTTGCATCTACGGATTCATGTAAACAGAATACAAATGCTACATTATACAGTTGTTAAGTGTGCTGTATACAACCTTATCAAATAAACACCTCTCACTGAATATGTAACGCATATAGCATCTTCTTTGATAATACTTATCAATCAGTTTAGAAGAACAATAAAAAAATAAAACACTTTTTCATTTTTAAAAGCCTGTGAGTATTCAAATAACAAAGAAAAAATACTGAATTGGAATACTTGGATCTGCACAGTGAATAATTTTCAGTTGTAATGAGAGTACAAGTGCTAGTGATAATACAACTCACTGGTAAATGTTCAAACTCTGCAGCTATACTTCCACAGTAGAGTTTCTCCAACTGCTGGATGAGCTCAGACACTGAAGTCTGTTGGTTTTCACCAGCCACCAGCCCATTCGTCCATATCTTGCTGCCGTCTTTTTCTGTGAGGCCATACTGTTTGAAATTCAACTCTGGCAAACTCCTGTGGTTTAAAAATATTAAAATATTAGTCTGACTATAACATTATTACCTTTTTATAATGTCATGTCAATCATGCTTGTTATTTTAAAGTAATAACCTTAATCTCTGTAGACCGAGTGGATCCAAGGAAGCTTTTAAATGACCAAACCGTCTGTATGCATCAATCAGCTGGACCACATTTGCATATTTTAGTCGATTGTTCAGCACTTCAGCAGTGTCTAAAATATATTTATTAAAATTTATTTTAAAAATATAATTTATAGGGCCTAGAAATAATAATTACATCACACCTTAATCCCCCCATCACGAATTTCCTTATTCACCCTTCACCAGTGGTTTGAAGCCTAGCCAGGGTCTTGTTCTGTTAAGGATGTTATGACAAGGCAGGGCCATTTTATGATCTTTGTAGGTCCTTGGCACTTAGTGACTTATCCGATGTCCTAGTCTTCATTAGTTTTAGTTTAGTTAGTGACATAACATTAGTCATTATTAGGGCATGATTAAGTAGGGAATATTAATTGTCTAGTCTACTATAACTATATATTATATAAGCCACATGAATAAAATATTATTTTTAGGCCTATTTTATTTAGTATTTACTACTATTTACAGTCTTTTTTTATAGATTCTAGTTCTAGATCTAGACAATGACTCTGATTGAGAAATTTATAAATTAAAATTTATTTCTCGCCAACTTACAAGGGCAATCATCACGATCAGAATCGCTGGATCCACTGTCACTACTGCTGGCCCCATTGAGCCGAGGATTGTACCCATACACGCCTTGCTTTGAATGATAAGGTGCAACAGCAGAGGTAATCAAATATTGTCGAACACACAACAAGCAACGATGGGCTTTACACAACATCGACATTGTTGTCAGCAAACACCAAAACAGTGCATTAGTAAAAGTTAAATTAGTTCGTAAAAAAGCAGTTAGTCTTTTTACAAATATTTCATGTAAACACCGCAACCAGCGAACTGTAATCGAAACACATCCACTTGGTTATTAAAATTATTAATTTAAAAAAAAACGTGAGTGATAAATGAAAATTTGAGTAATTAAAATAACTACTAGATCTACATTGGAGATGTAGTGTTCGAAGGGAGAGGGGTTAAATGAAAAGTGGCATACATTTTGTAATTCGTATATAAAAATATAATTATTAATAACGTCTAAAATTCTTTAAGGTAGAAATATTGTTATTTTTAGGAAGGGAAAATGAAACTTTGTACCAACATTGTATTGCGGAATACTATGAAGTGGAATAAAAATGGACTATAATTGTATGAGGTAATTATTATGTTTGTCGGTAAATAGGCCTAAGTTAGCAAGGTGCCATATCCACGACAGTGGCAATCTGTCCATGTACATCTTCAAGTTAAAAAAACAGACATTTTAAAACAGACGTTTTAAAATTATTTTTTTTTTAACTTGATGATACTTTAAACATAAAGCGTTTCAGAATGATTGAAAAGTGACGATGAAATATGCGTCTCGCATCTCTTCACAAGGGGAACTAACCTTAGAAGTTACTCCCAGCTTCAGCCAGCTGTTGAATAGTATCGATTTTGTCCCTTTGTACAGGCTCTGTAACCCGAGTTAATGTGTTGGAACTATGTTGTCGCATGTGTAAAGTTGTGATACATTTCTACTATATATCTGTTGTAACAGTTTGTATACTTCAATAAAGAATTTTATACAACCACCATCTTCAACTTGAAACAAGATACTATTAGAGACCATTACAATATTTTACACTCTTGTCTACCAGATATCTACAAACATTGAGGATATTATAAATAGGCCGATTTAAAATGTCTGCATCTTCTAAATTACATATATTTTATACGTCTATATTAGGCTAGGCCACAATTCTTTAAAAAAAATACATTATTTATACATTGTATTTTGTAACATTTTTCATTTCATACTGATAGAGCATGCATTTTAATTTCCAGAAAGGGCTAAAGGTATTTATTAACACAGGATTCAGCCAAGTGAAGTAGAGCTCATATGTGTTCTGTGAAGGGATATTGTGGTCCGTGGTCAGCACTATCCCCAGCCGTCTTTACTTTCCCGACGTGAGCTGGGTAGACTCAGTTCAACTGACTTTTAACCCAGATTCGAACTCGAGAATTTCGGGTTCGCAGTCAAGCGCTCTACCGCTAGGCCAGATGTCAATATTGCTATTGCAGTAAATACTTCTTATATGGAACCTGTACCGTAAGAAAGGACTGGGGGCGTTTTTGGAATTTTTAATTATTTCTACAGTAGGAAAGAAACTGGATTTCCATTTTCTTTTTAAAATAATTAGCCTAATATAAAGCAAATATTAAAGTTCCAAAGTAAAAGTTTTAATTTTTTTTTAAAAGAGACAAAAGGTCCCTTATGTGCCTTGCGCCCACATGCCTTGCTTACGCTAGCTTTACGGTAGCTACGTTACTTCTTTACACCTTCTTTGGGGTTACTTCGTTTCTCAACATTACTTTTTTTTTGTTAAAAGCTAAGGCCAATGCCATTGGTCAGCTTTAAAATAATGTATGCAAAAAAAAAGCCCTGAATATTCCGCTCTAGTTCTATTCAGACGTAGCCAAACGTATTAAGAGCGAGATCTTTTGAAAGAGAAACAAGGAAGTTTAGAATGCAGAGGCGTAGCGACCCTTCCCGGCGCACGGGGACAAACTATCAATTTGCCGCCCCCCCCCCTCAGGAGCGAATTTTCAAATTTGCACCCCCCCCTCAAACTTTCGATTTGCACCCCCCCCAAACTATTTATAATGCAAAAATGCAGCTAAAATGACATTATAATTTGTTTTTACAACCCATTTTGGCGCCCCCTAAGGTCGGCGCCCGGGGATATATGTACCCCCTGCCCCCCACCCCCCACCCCATCGCCACGCCTCTGTTAGAATGTTATGGCTGGAGGTAAAAATCAAAAGCTACCAATCAAATTCGTATGCGAATCGTCTTCTTGACACTATACTCCTCAAGTAGCCGTAAGGAATACGAAGAAGAATGAATATCTCTCTATATATAATTCTCTTCTTGGAGACGATAGAAAACACCAAGCTGTAAGCGCGCTCCCTACCACACCCACCCCTACATTGTCTGGTGAGCTGTGGTTCACGCTGTTTACATTAATCGTAGAGCCGGGTTTAGTGACGGCTATTATGGGCAGATAATTTAGTTTGAAACGATTTTAAACTTAGGGGAGGTAACTAAGAGGAGTTTACTTTCACGGGGGGTGGAAGGGGGTGGGGTGGGGTAGGGGTTGGGGAAAGGAGGGGGGGGGGGGGGATTATCGTCCTTAACGAGCTACTGATAGTGTTTTAAAGCAAATATTTTCAGTGGCGGCGTTAGTACTGTTGAATTCACAAATTATGAATTACCGAAAAGTAGAACATAAAACAACTAAATTGCGGCGTATCTTCTTCTTCTTCTTCTTCTTCGTTCTTAATTATTAGTGTTGAAGGGGATTGAGATTTATCTGCCAGTGGGTTTGAACTCGAGACTTTGTTCGAATTTATCAACCATGAGCTTTTTGCCGACTCGACCACGCCTCCAACACAATTAAGCGTTACGTGTCAACTGGTTATGCGCCATTGAGGCCATTGACTCCGATTTCAGCCTGCTTTTCTTTTTGGATTTGCTTCCATAGCCTTTGTCCAACCAAGAACAAACTACAAGGCAGCAGTTGTTTCATTTTGGAGTTGTCTCTCCTAGAAGAGTGGCTGTCCCCAGCTAACGAGCCTCATCTGCCCGAGGGTTCGAACTCGAGACTTTTCGGTTTAGCAACCATGAGCTTTACCGACTCGACCACGCCGACCCCGTATGATACGCAGCGGGTCGGCTCGTATTTAATATTGCAGCTGTACGATATGGTTTATTTATTTATTAAAAAAAAAGGTTTTAATAAGACTACTTTTTTCAACACATAGATCAGGTCGTCAGTCCTTATGGTTACGGTTTACATGAGGTCTGGTGTCGCTTCTCCTTCACTACAAGCGTCAGGTACTCTTTAGGGCTGAGTAAATAGAAAGTCATGTGACTCAAATGACTGAGGCAGGGACCGCCGTGATGATGTGTTAAAGGGGACAGGGAAAGGGTCAAGAAAAGTGACGACACATAAAATAAATAAACGAGATCATCTTAACGAGAGTTGAAATAAAAATAAATTACAGAACAACGAAATAATTTGTATTTGTTTTTTATTAAATGTGACAACAACAATGTTACGTATGCGATTGCATTTTTTCTGATAAAAGCGCGTTTGTATCACGATTGATATAAGCGGATATTTGTATCACATTCTAGTCTATATTTTTTTTTGGGGGGGGGGGGGGGAGGGTGGGCTAGATGTGTAGAAATAATTTATTTCAAGATCCGCCCATTGTTAATCAAGTATACATTTGAAATGCTAATAACATAGAACGTCTGTAAAACACCATAACACGTGATAATTAGCAAAAAAAATGTTTTGATAGGCATACATTCTCCATCTCAGCCACTAAACTTTCCACTAGATCGATTTATGTTTTTCTCCTATTTAAAATAGATTAATTAAGAATTTTTGTGCAAAAACAATGGAGACAAAATCCAGTTTTCCCTTTGACAATAGGGCTGTTAAGTAGGTCACCAACCAGTTCTGTGATGTAGGTTTTATTGAGCCGTAGAACTGGTTGGTGACCTACTTACCAGCCCTATTGGCATAAATTTTAATAGGGCCCACAACCCCAAATAAAATTTTGTATAGGGCATTTTTCCCCTATCAAAACCTGATGAGCATCGTCACTTGATGGAGATTCGCGCGACAATTTAAGAAAATAAATAAATCAAAGCACTAAAGGCCTGGTGTAGCACCGTTCTTGTAAAAAAAAACCGGTGGACGGGCCAGAGGCGTAGCGACCCTTCCCGGCGCCCGGGGACAAACTTTCGATTTGCACCCCCCTCGAACTTTTGATTTGCACTCCCCCCCAAACTTCCGATTTGCACCCCCCCCCCCCCTCGAACTTTTGATAATGCACCCCTCCCTTCAAACTTTCAATTTGTTTTTCCAACCCATTTTGGCGCCCCCCCATAAGGTCGGCGCCCGGGGACATATGTCCCCCCCCCCGCCCCCCCTCGCTACGCCTCTGGGACGGGCCAATCCATCCCTGCTTATATATTACTATGAATGTTTTAAGACGAAGCTGTTTTAAGACATTATAAAATAAATAAAACAAACCTCCATAGTTCTGCGTCAGAAAAAAAAGTTCCAAATATATTTTGTGAAGCATTTACTTTACAGATTGATTAATAGCAAAATATATTTAAATATAACATACTATTTTAAAAATTAATGTAAACATCAAAATAAGATACATATCTAGGATATGTATTTCCGCCGGGAGGACATCCCCGAGTCCATCCAGCTCTGATGTGTACCTGAGTCACGGTAGGGCAACTGAAAGCGGCTGTTCACGCTATCACTTCCAAAGCAGAGGCCACAGAAACCCGTGAACTCTACTTCACCTGCCCCTAATGGACAACCAGGTTCAAAAGAGAGACTTCACTAATATGTATGTAGACGACGTTCAATACCATCATCGCTTCATTCTCTGGTACATAATTGGACTCCGACCAGAGGCGTAACTAGGGGAAGGGGGGGGGTGGGGCTGCCTCCCCGTGCTCCGATCTTAGAGGGGAGCCAAACAGGATAGAAAAAGTAATGAACAAAGCTCATTCTTAGCTGCATTACTAAACAACACACAAGAACATAGACTACTGCTTTGCTTTCATGACTAGTTTAGCTGTTTAAAAAAATTAATTGTTTGACATTATGATAAAAAATTTGTTACGGGATAAGTACTGGTATAAGGCGCCTCCAACCCTTCCAAATGTATGAGGGGCAGAGCGCTTTTTCCTCGTTGTG